TTTGAGCGGACCGAAGGATGATGAATCTGAGCAGGAGCGAGTCTGAGTATGAGTGGTTCTGAGCGTGAGTCTGAGCGTGAGTAAGTTTAAGTATGGATATGAGCGAGTCTAAGTGCGAGTGAGCCTGCGTGTGACTGAGTCTGAGTATGCGTGAGTATGAATGCAGAAGGGTGAAGGAGAGCGGAAAGCGAAGGAGAGCCAGGCGGAAGCGTTTGAGTAAAACCTAAAGCCTTGGAACATCGAACCTCGATCGTCTGGCCCTGGCTACTCGAGTTGCCCACGTTTTCCTCCTCCTCCTCCTCCTCCTCCTCCTCCGCATCATCATCATCATCATCATCATCATCATCATCATCATCATCATCATCAGCATCATCATCATCATCATCATCAGCATCATCATCATCCCCTTCCTGCTTCTGCTCCTAACGTGTTCATGCTGTCCTCCTTTTCCTCCTTTTCCTCCTCCTCCTCCTCCTCCTCGTCCTCTTCCTCCTCGTCCTCGTTTCCTCCTTCTCTTCCTCTTCCTCCTCCTCCTCTTCCTCCTCCTCCTCCTCCTTGGGAGTGCTGAAGCCAGCAAATCGCCTGAGACATCCTCCCAAAACTGCTATGAAAAACGACAGATGCGCAGCATCATAACGGCCAAACCGCCTGAGACATCCCCGCAAACTGGGAGCGAACGTCCTCCAAATCTGCCCCGAAAACGAAACATGTTGGAAGAGAAAATTGCCAAACCGCCTGAGACATCCCCACAAAATCCAGCGAAAGGGGCCGAGTGAAATATCCCCTCCGCTGCTCCCCTTAGAGTGCTGAAGCCAGCGAGTCGCCTGAGACATCCTCCAAATCTGCTCCGAAAACGAAACATGTTGGAAGAGAAAATGACCAAACCGCTTGAGACATCCCCACAAAATCCCGCGACAGGGGCCCAGTGAAATACCCACCCGCCGCTCCCCTTAGGAGTGCTGAAACCAGCGAATCGCCTGAGACATCCTCCAAATCTGCTCCGAACGCGAAACATGCTGGAAGAGAAAATGACCAAACCACCTGAAATATCCCCACATGGAGCCGACGGAAATGACCCCCCGCCGCTCCACTTAGGAGTGCTGAAACCAGCGAATCGCCTGAGACATCTTCCAAATCTGCTCCGGAAGCGAAACATGTTGGAGGAGAAAATAGCCAAACCGCCTGATCCCCACAAAATCCCTCGAAAGGGGCCGAAGGAAATACCCCCCCGCCGATCCCCTTAGGGGTGCTGAAACCAATGAATCGCCTGAGACATCCTCCGAATCTGCTCTGGAAGCGAAACATGTTGGAAGAGAGAATGGCCAAACCGCTTGAGGCATCCCCACAAAAGCCTGCGAAAGGGCCCGAGGGAAATACCCCCCCGCCGCTCCCCTTAGGAGTGCTGAAGCCACAGAACCGCCTGAGACATCCTCAACAACAGTGTGTGTAAGTCATCCGATGAGTGGACCTGAGTGAGTGTAGTGAATGTATGAGTACAACTACGAGTGAGTCTGAGTGATGAATGAGTATGAGTGATGCGTGAGTCTGAGTGATGAGTGAGTCTGAATGATGGGTGATGAGTCTGAGTCATGACTGAGTCCGAGTGATGAGTGGGTATGAGTGATGAGTGAGTCTGAGTGATGAGTGGGTCTGAATGATGAGTGAGTCTGAGTGACTGATGAGTGGGTCTGAGTGAGAGGAGTGGTGTGTTCTCGTCTGTGTTCTCCTCCGGCGCGGTCCGCCAATAACAAGAACCCCAGACTTAGGATATGGGGAATTAGTCGACGCGGGGCTCCCCATATGTGCATATCATTATCTTGGTACGTGCCCCATCGAGCCCCCCAGAGGCCCCCGAGGACTCTGCAAGAGGCCCCGAAGGCCCTCCAAGACGCCCGCAAGAAGCCCCCGAGAGGCCCCCAAGGCCTCCCACATGCCCCCAACAGTTCTCCAAGAGGCCCCAGAGAGGCATCCCAAGAGACCCTCAGATTCGTCCAGGAGACTCCTGACCCAAGATGTAACTTCCACGATCGTCTCAAACACTCACTCCCTGTGGGGGTCGGCGGAATGGCGCAAGCAACTCGACGATCTTCGACTTCTCAGAAAAGAATCTGAGAAGAACGGAAAGCGGAAGGCCGAAACACTGGGCTGGAACCGACACATCGGAGGTCGATCGGCGATAGGCCGCCGAATGCGAAACTGCACGTTCATGGACAGGGTAGGCCGCCCAAGTTGAAGGGGCCCCAGGACACACACACATAAATACACACAAATAACGATAGTCAATCTATTTTCACATATTTTCTGGATTTCCGTTTTCCACCCCACTTCCCATATTTTTCCATATTTTCTGGGGAATCGAAGATTAATTGTGTCTGTGTGTTTCTTTTCCTCCTGACAGGTCCCCCTCGGCGACCTCACCGGCCGCCAGAGCCGTCTTGGGCAAGCTCTCTTTGCCCGAAAAGGCGGAGCCCCCCAAAACCTCTCCCGCGCTTGAAGAACATCGTTGTTGTTGGCCTCCTCGAGCCCTCTCGGGGGTCCTCTTGGGAGCCTTTTGGGGCGCCTGGGGAGTCCTCGCGAGCCGTCTGGAGTCGGGGATCTTCTGACCCGGGTCAATCCAGACCCGGGTCAGCAGGAAACCGAAAACTGCAATGCAGGACAAAAAACTGCAACGCCGGTCTTTGCAAACCTGGGTCGGCCAATATGCGCGGCCGCCTCGCGGCCACGAATGGCTCGCTAACCCGGGTCAGCCAGAGGGGGTCTTCGCAGGATCCTGCAGGATCCGGTGCCCTGGCTGACCCCCGTTTGCATTGACCCCCGTCTCGAGGCTCCAGATTGAGGCCGTGTTAGGCCGCCCTGGGGCCTCTTGGGCGCTCTCGGGCCCTTCTCGGGCTGCTCTCGAAGCGGTCTTGGGCCGCTCACGTGCTCCGCGGGGCCGTCCGGGAAGCGATCTCGGGCCCACCCGGGCGGTGGGAGCGCCCAGGGCCAAAAGTTCTGTACGGGGGGATCTCTTGTAAGGATATTCGATGAGGAATGTATTTGTTGTCTGCCGTTTTTTGTTGCTCGAGTTCGCTGTTTGGGGGTTCCCTGAGGGTCCTGAAAGCAGGAGCCCGCAGGTCGGTGCACGGAGCGGCGTCGGTGCACGGCGTCGCCCGCAGGCCCTGGGCAACACGGCAGCCTGACTGCCCGTCGACTCATGGCGAACAAGAGAGGATGCGTTCGCAAGCGGCTCGTGCTTCGCGGGCACGCTTCGACGCAGTTTCTCAAGTGGGCCACCGTGCCGCGAGCACTGACGGATAACCGTGAGCGTTGTCGACCAGATCAAATTTTGCCCTCTGCTATGTCCCATGCCTCTGCCGGTTTGGCAGTCAGCGACACCAGCGCAGAACGCGTGTTCCGAAATGCCTGAACGTAGCCTGACCGGCAAGATCAGACGCCAGAATCTCGCGCACGCCTCTGCCTTTTGGCGGGGCCTGACCGCAAGATCAAACGCCGGACTCTCGTGCATGCCTCTGCCTTTTGGCAGTCAACGATGACCGCGTGGAACGCGTGTTCCAAAATACTTGAATGGGGCCTGACTGGAGGATCAGGCGCTGGAATATGTTTGTTCAAGTTCGCGGATCAAGATGCGAATCTGACTCCAAGGACTGTAGCAGAGCCGAGAGAGAAAGAGAGAGAGAGAGAGGGAGAGAGAGAGAGAGAGAGAGAGAGAGGAGCAGAGCCGGGCAGAGGAGGGCAACTCGGCTAGCACGCCCTGCAATAGTATCCGGAAAATGTAGTGCCTTCACAACAATACCCTCTAGTGCACTGGTCGGTAAGCCCCCATGTGCATGGGAAATTTGGAGAAATGTAGCCGTGATTACTATTCACACGGCAAGTATCACGGTAATGGTCAAGGTTGACGCAGATAGTGTTTGGAGGACACTCCCACTGGCAAAAGGGTTCATTGGAGGAAAGGAGACGCACGTCGCCAGGATGTTCATGCTGGCGATGAATTGTAGAGTTGAGCTTCTGGACATCGATCGGCGCATCCTCCACTCTCGCCTCCTCATATTGCTTGTGGTCCTGCGTCTCGTCCTTGCGAATGATGTTCCCGATTTGCGGCTCGCTGGGGCCCGACGCCCGTGACTGGAGCAGCCCCACGCCGTCGGCCTCGTTCGTGGCGTCGCAGTTGTGAGGGTCATCCTCCGTCAGGCGGCGCTCCTCCACGGTCTTGGTCAGGTCGCCGGCGGCGACGCAGCCGCGGCTGACGAACAGGATGGCTAACGCTGCTGCAAGCACCGCTTACGTTCATTGCGGCAACGGCGGAGCAACAGTGGATTGGCGGCAACAGGCAAAACCGAACGTTCCAAATACCCAAAGGCTTGCAAAAGTGTCCCGGGCCAAACTCGAGCCGAAATGGCTTGAGCCAAGACATCTCACTTGAGGCCTCACTAGATCCCGCTGAATACGAAGAACTCTTGGGGCGAGGCCAGACTGCGAGAAACCCCTTGGGTCGAACAGAAGCTCCCATACTTGGCCACCTTCTGTGGCAATTCATAGGAGCCTCTCTTACCATCTTGTCGGCTCTTACGTATCGACCCTAGTCGACGCTAAATCGACGCGAATCTACGCTATATCGACGGTAATCGACGCTAGCCGACGCTAAACCGCCGCGATCTCATCAACTACCAGACGCTAATCGACGCTAATCGACGCTGAAGCAGATTTACGAGGGTACACAAGGCCCGCATGATTTGCTTCCGATCGGTGGTGGACAAACCTCCCTTTAGCAAACCTCCCCTTCGTGAAAACGGCCTGGGACCGACACCGACGGACCCGGACCCGCCAAAATGACGGCCGCGGCGCCCCCTCGCGAACCGAAAATGGCCCATTCCTTCAATCGACGCGTCAGGGTAGAGGGTCTGTCGACCTCCGAACCGAAGGCCACCCAACAGGGGGCGCAAAGGGCCGCCGGGGGCCCGCCCGAGGCAGCGCGACGGAAGGCCGCCGCCGCGCGCGGCCTCCGGGCGCCCGGCGGCGGCCGCGCGGCCGGCGCCGCCTGCGGGGCGTCGGCGGGGCCCCCTTGCCCTCGTGCCCCGTGCCGCCCCGGACATAGCCGCGTCCACTCTGTAGCGCTGCCAGGTTGCGGTAGCGACACGCACACACACGCACACACGCACACACACACACACACGCACACGCACACGCACACACACACACACATGCTGGCGGGCATGTTGCGTGACCCCTCAAGTGGAGCCCTCAAGTGGAGCCCTCGGGAGCCCAACGGGGCGGGTGCGGCCCCGTGTTGGTCCCGTGGCCCTACGGGGCTGTGTGGCCCCACGTTGCCCACGACTGCCGCTCCGATACCAGAGCCTTTGTGACGCAAACAAAGTGGACGGCGCCATCTCCAGCGGCTCGAAACAAATGGAGACGGAGGTCCTCGCCGCTGCCGTTGTCGTGCCCCTTCCGGGTCGGCGGCACCAGCTGCTAGGCCCCCGCAATCGCGACGCGGGCATTCCATTATGTTCGGCCCACCGGAGCCACTGCCTGGCCCCGGGTCTGTCTCAAGACGTCGTGGGATGAGAAACTGGCCCCTGGAAAGCGGTCAAGAGGTCGGGGGCCCAGAGGCAACTCCTGGGAGGTCTTCGCCAGAACGATGGAGGGCCGTGGAGCCCGATCAAGGAGCCATCGTTAGGTCAGGCTGGATCAAGCCTGGGATACGACCATATTGACTAGGATTATTCCACACTCGGCGCGAATAAGCCCGATTAAGCGGGACGCGGCCAGACAATGCAAGTTTTCGACCTGGAATCTGCCAGCGCCGCCTCTGAACTTAGCCTCCCGCGAATTGCATCCTAACCTCCTAACCTCATGCCTCACTGCACCGACCTTGCAGACGTGCTGCAGCGGATTTTTGCGGCGGATTCCTGTCAATGCAAAACCCCAAAACGGCGAGCCAAAAAACGAAGTGCATCTCGCGTGGAGTTTGTTGTTAGCATTCGCTCCTGGCCCCAACAGAAACCGCCCGAAACTCAGCTCCAAATCCGGAGCGAACTTCTCCGGGACACTCCGGGCCCATCCGATGGCTTTCTCCGTGCGAAATCCGCCCTGCGATGCTGGCGCCATGACGTGCCCCGTGCCGCCTCCTCGCGCTGTGGATCGAATTGCGACTGGAGGCCTCGGGCAGCCTTCGGTGGGGGGCGCCCGCTGGGCCGCGCCCCCCCCCCCCCCCCGGCAAGCCCTCGGGACCGTGAAGCTACACGGCACGGGACGACGAGCTCGCACCGGGGGAAGGGGTCCAGACCTTCTCGGTCTACACTCGAGGCGTTGACCTAAGGTACCCCAAATAAGGAACGAGGCCTCGTCTTTTCCATAAGTTAAACTTCGACTTCGTATCGAAAACCTAAGGACAACCTGAGGCGAGCTGCGGAACACTTAACGCGGAGCCCCTTCCCAACGAGAAGGGTTCCTTCCTCAGGGCCCCGACTGTATGAGGGCCCCCGCTGGGCCTCAGGAGCCGGACACAACGGCCTGGGACGAGAGGCCGGTCCTGGGGAGAAGGGTCCAGGACCTCCAGAGGCCTGCGCTGCAAGCAGGCGCGGCGTCGGAGTTCTGGGCAGGTCTCGCCGCGGGGGGGGTGGGAGGGGGGCTGCCGCCGCCTTATCGGGGCGACGTAAGACCCGGGTACAGGGGACTCGGAAATCCCCGACGAGGTCGTCAAAAGAATGACGAGGCCGAGCCTGCATTTTGACGAGGCATCCCGCTGCAAACATCCTACGAAACTCCCACTCGTCAAAATCCGAATCGCGGTCGTCAAAAAACGATGGCGAACCCGAGTCCTGGCAAACCCGGGTCTTACGCTCCCCCGACCTTAGGGCCCCAGCTTGGGGGATCGGCTACGACTCGCAGTTGAGTTTACAGGCGGGCGCCCACTGGCAAAATCTCGGAGGTCGAGCCATTGCGGCGGGGTCGAATCGTGACCCAAGGATCGGGGTGGCTCATAGCCCACGGCCCTGTCCGGGCAAGCAATGGCTCAAGGATTTCACACGCCCCTTCCTTTTGAAAGGGGAGGAGGAGGAGGCGGAGGCGGATGAGGCGGATGAGGAGGAATAGGAGGAGGAGGAGGAGGAAGAGAAGGAGGAGGGCGGAGGAGGAGGAGGAGGCGGAGGCGGATGAGGCGGATGAGGAGGAGGAGGAGGAGGAGGAGGAGGAGGAGGAGGAGGAGGAGGATCAGGAGGAGGACGAACACTGGGTGTAACAAGAGGATCCCGAGAAGCGTTTTGTATCCTCCTGCTCCTCCTCCCCGCGCACCACCAGGGCCACAGGGATGGCCCGAAGTGGCCCTCCAAGTCCACCTCCTTGCTCAAGGCATGGACGATTCCTGCGGTGTCCGGTGTCCGGTGTCTGGTGTCCGGTGTCTGGAGTCCGGTGGCCGGTGTCCGCTGCGCGGTGCATGGGTGTCGGTGTCGGGTGTCTGGTGTCCGGTGTCTGGCGTCCGCTGCGCGGTGGGAGTCTGGTGTCCGGTGTCCGGTGTCCGGTGTCCAATGTCTGGTGTCCGGTGTCCGGTGTCCGGTGTCCAGTGTCCGGAGTCCGGTGTCCGGTGTCCGCTGCGCGATGGTAGACAGCCGAAAAAAAAGAATAGACACTTTTAGAAATTCTCAGCTTCCCGTTGAGGCGCCGTGCACATGCACAGTACCTATTAGTATGTATTTTTTAGAAATAAACGCTTTTAGAAATGATCGTGCTCCCGCTGAGGCCCGGTGGTCATAGTATCTAAAAGTATCTTCTTCGGACAGTGTCTAAATATATGTTTGTGCATCGGCTGTGTTGCAAGATTTCTGTGTCTATTACTGTTTAACTTGTATCTAGTTAGTATCTAATGTTGAACAACAGCATCTATTTAAAATCACGAAGTGGCGACCATAGTACAGCTGAGGAGACCAGCTTGGGCCCTAGGAATCCCAAGGGAATCCCTCGGGAATCCTCAGTGAATCCATGGGAATCCGTAATTAAGGAATCTTTAAGAATCTGCCAAGAATCATCAGGAATCCCTGGAGATCCTTTGCAAGCCTTTAGGGAATCCTTAGGAATCCAAAGGGAAATCTTCTGGAATCCCTATAGGGAATCCTCAGGAATCCCTCGGGGATCTTTAGGACTTCCTATAAGGAATCCGCAGGAATCTCCAGGGAATCCTTCAGCAAGCCTTCAGGAATATTTCGGGATCTCGAGTGAATCCCTAGGAAATCCCTAGGAATCCTTAAGGGATCCTTAGGAGTCCCTAGGGAGCCACCCAATATTTTAACCTCTGACGTTGCAGCGGAGTTGGGAGTGTCTATTTTTGGGTTCGGCCAAGGATTCGGCGCGCGCCGAATATATCAGTATCTACTTATTCGAACCAGTTTCTATTTGTTTTGGTGAGTTTCTATGTTCATCTCAAGGCAATTGCAATGCGTATCTATTTTCAAATAAGAGACGTGTCTATTAGTGACTATTTTTCATAAGAAGTTGATTCCGTATCTATGTTTGGTAATATGATATATTTTGCACGTGTCTATGGCCTTATAGCGCTCACAGGGATCACAGGGCTCGTAGAGCTCAGAGGGATCATAGAACTCGTAGTGATCATGCGACTCGTAGGGCTCATTGGGCTCAGAGAACTGATTGGGCTCGTAGGGCTCATGGAGCTCATAGGGTTCACAAGGCTCACCGGTCTCATAGGGCTCGTAGGGCTCGTAAGGCCCTCAGGGCTTCATAGCGCTCGTAGGGCCCATGGGGCTCGCAGTGCTCATATAAATAATAGTTTATTTGTTTACACGTTCGCTTGCGTGCTCACTGAAAGAACCAGTTTGATTAGCATTCAATTTTTCATCCACCTACCTCTCTACCGTCATCGTTCCGCGCCTCCTCCACACAATGCCAATGGTTAAGTCAGCAAGAGAAACACGCAAATAATTGAATATATAATTAAATAATTACTTAATTCCTTACATGTTCGCTTGCGTGCTCATTGAAATAACAATGTTGCTTAGCATTGAACCTGCATCGTTCTGCGCTTCCTTCTCACAGTGCCAATGGTTAAATGAGCAAGGGAACCACGCAAATAATCAAATAAATAATTACATATTTATGTAACTATTTACCTGTTCGCTTGCGTGCTCATTGAAATGATCATTTCGCTTATCATTAATTTCGTATCGTTCCGCGCCTCCTCCACACAGTGCAAATGGTTTATTGAGCAAGGGAACCACGCAAATAATTAACTCCATCATTTAAGTTGTATCTAATTATCTACATGTTCGCTTGCGTGCTCATTGAAATAACCATTTGGATTAGCATTCAATCCGTCATCGTTCCGCGCCTCCTCCACGCAGTGCCAATGGTTAAATGAGCAAAATAACCACGCAAGTACTTTAAATACATAGTTAAATAATTATTCAAGTATTTCCATATTTACATGTTCGCTTACGTGCTCATTGAAATAACAATTTTGCTCCGCATTCAATCAGTAATCCTTCCGCGCCCCCTCCGCACAGCGCCAATGGCAAAACAAATGAGCAAGAAAACCACGCAAATAATCAAATACATAATTCAACAATTATTTAATTATATACGTGTTTGCTTGCGTGCTCATCGAAATAACCAAATTGATTAGCATTCAATCCGCCTTCGTTCCGCGCCTCCCCCACGCAGTGAAAATGATTAAATGGGCAAGGGAACTACGCAAATAATTACATCAATAATTAGATAACTGTTTAAGTATTTACAGGTTCGCTTGCGCTAATCATTTATCACACAACATAATATGACATGAATGCGCTTAGCCATGTTCTGTAAAACCCCGAGCGCCGGCCTGAATATACAATGCAAGAGCATAGTTTCCTGCTTATAAAACAATAGAGAATGACATTGCCAAACGATTGTCTATTAGAATTCGGAGCCCGGCCCGAAAAATCAAAAAAACGGCCATAGCTTCTTGCTTACAGAACAGAAGAGAATGATTCTGCCAATCGACTGTCTGTCAGAATTCGGACCCCAGCCTGAAAATTCAAAGAAAGG